GCCTGGGACGAACCGAGTTTCAGAGTTAGAAAGGAGAACGGGAAGGGGGGAGATTGGGAGCAAACCATTTCAGGGTTAGAGGGGAGAGTGGGCAAACGATTCCAGGGTTAAAAGGGTAATTTGGGGCAAGCCATTTCAGAGTTAAAAGGGGCGCAGTGTGAGGGGCCTGGGACGAACCATTTCAGAGTTAGAAGGGAGAACAGAGGGGGATTGAGGGCAAACCATTTCAGGGCTGGGAAGGAAAAGAGGGGGTTGGGGCAAACCATGTCAGGGTTAGAAGGGGCAGTGTGAGGGGTCTGGGAGGGAGCATGGGGGCGGGGGGCAAAGCATTTCAGGAAGAGTGGGAGGGAAGTGAGGGTAAACCATTTCGGTCAGAAGGAGGGGGTGAGGCAGGGCGGGGGATGATGCATTTCAGGGTTAAAAAAGAGATTGGGAGGGGGTTGGGGCAAACCATTTCAGGATTAGAAGAGAGCGTGGGGGAGTTGGAGCAAACCATTTCCGGGTTGGGAAGGGTAGGAGCAATATGCTCACACCAGGAGTTACTTTGGGAGCCAAGAGCAGGACCTGGGCAATGCCCTTGTTTCCTCAGCCAGCTCTGTGCCCAACTCCTGGTATGAAATGAGAAGTTGGAAGCTCATTCTCAGCAGCCAAGTGTGTGCATGTGAAAGCCACTGTCAGTGTCTGCACTAACTGGCTGCAGTGGGGCCAGGTTCAGGGCAGCGGCCTGGACCTGCAGGCTGGGGTGATGCTGCACTCACCTGCTTACGTAGAAAAATTACTTGGCTTTTTGTGTTTCTAAATCAAAAGCAGTCAAACCCTTGGAGGCATGTTCCACCCACATCCCACCCGCCAGACTTCCCCTTACATTCCGGGTCACACAGTGCAAAGATTGAAGGTGCAATACAGTTGAGGTCAAACTAACTGGCCAGTAGTTCACTTTTTTCCCTTTCTTAAATATGGGTACTGTATTTGCAATTCTCAAGTCATAGAGTAGAACCCCTGAGTTTAGAGATTCATTAAAAATCCTTGCTATTGGGCTTGCAATTTCATGTGCCAGTTCCTTTAATATTCTTGGAGGGAGATTATCAGGGTCCTGCAATTTGGTCTCACTAAACTATTTGAGTTTGGCTTCCACCTCCTTCTTTCATTAGCCACCCTGCCACTGCCCCCAAGTTCTTCATTACCCTGTTAAAAACGGAGGCAAAATATTCACTTAGGTGTTGGACTATACCTAGATTATTTTAAATCTCCACACCATCCTCAGTGTTTAGCGGTCCCACTTCTTCTTTCCTAGTTTTCTTAATATGGCTAAAGACCCTTTTACTATTTAATTTCCTGTACAAGGTCCAACTCTGCTTGGCTTTTGAGAGTTCTCATCCCCCCTCTACACATACACACACACACTTTCTGACCTTTAAATGGTAGCTTTCCTTGCTGATCCATCCCTTCTTCCATTCCTTGTAGGCTTTCTACTTTTTCTTAACTTACTATTTGAGATGGTTGTTCATGCAATTTCATCTGCAACCCTTCTCTACAATTTTTTCTCCTTTCTTGGGTTGCAAGTTTCTGCAACTTTGACTTAAAGCAATTCCAAGCCTCCTCCACATTAGTCCACTCCACTTCCCTAACTAATTTCCTTAATTTTCTAAAAGTTTACCCTTTTGAAATTCAGGACTCTAGTTACCAACCTATGTTTGTTTATCCTTCCATTTAAGTTAAACTGAATTAACGCATAATCACTCTAACTAAGGTTGTCTTCTACAACCAGTTTTTCTATGAGGTCCTTGCTACTTACCAATATTAAATCTAACATGGCATCACCTCTTGTTGGTTCGGTGATTGTTTTGTGAATAACTCTGTTGACTATCACATTGAGGAATATCTGGGCCCGACCATTATTAGTAGCATGAGTCCTCCAAACTATATCTGGGAAATTAAAGTCTCCCATAATCACTCAATTCCCAGTAGCATTTACTTCTTTAAAAATAGTAGAGATCTCTATCACATATCCAAATTGGAACCTGGGGGCGATCTGTAGGAGACCCAAAGCACTATCCCAGTAGAGCCTTTGTTATCTTTTTTCCCCATGGAGGTGCTAGATTTTAGCAGGCAAAACAATGTATTTTTCCCCTAGCATCATTCTCAGAAACGGATTAATTGTTTTGGCTGAAATTTCCCCAAAACATTTAGTCCATACCACTGGCCACAGAAACCTGGCGTGGAAAATTTCAGCCCAGACAGTTAAAGTTTGCCAAAGTTATAAAAAACTGAGTCTTATAATAGAAAATGTTGATCAATTTTAATAATAGGTGGTCCTATCAGCCCTGCATTTAATAATGTGTTTTAGTGGCAGTGTGCTTGCAGTGATGTGTTTTTCTCTCTGTAGTGGTTGTTTTTCTTAATTTTTGCTGAGATTAGTCATTGAAAGACCTAGTGAGAAAACATCAAGCATTTTAGTTCATGTGAAAAACAGTGGAAGGAAAAATAAGTGCACTGGTTATTTTCCATTTTTTGACCAGTTCAAGTTAAATTTAATTAAATTATATATCATGTCTCCATAAAATAATAGATGTATCTATTTCATTTGAATCAGTCTAGTAACTTATTTTAAGATTAATTAGATTTACTCTATTATTTACCACCTGGAAGGTATATTTCAATGCAACCTCATAACAAGCAAAGCCATTTTTTTCCTAACTTTGATGCCTAATTGGAAGTGCTTAAGTGCATGCATAAGCATCTAACTAAAGTGGTTTGATTTTCAGAAGTGCTGAACACACACAGCTCCCTTTGATACCAATGGGCATTGCTTAACACCTCTGACAATCCAGCCATTTTCAGTTAGTTGCCTATATTATGTGTTTAGGCGTCTAACTTTAGGCATCCACATTTGAAAATTGTGATCCGTATTTATTAAAAATATATATATATATATATATATATATATATATATATATATATATATACTACTAC